TATATATATATATATATATATATATACATATGTATAATTTGTAAATTGATTAAATGATGATGCTTCCTGTTAACCTAAACTTCCTTTGATGGTGTGTTTTAGTTTTGTGTGTGTAGCTGATAGCTCCAGTCCTGGAACTCTGGAACTCTGATATACCTAGCTAATACATAGCTCCATCCACACAGCTAGCATGGCTTGGCTCAGGGACGACTGGCACAGTCTCAGATGGTCTGCCAACTCCTTCTGAAATGCCCCTGTTGCTATAGGAACCCCAGTGTGGTCAGCAGCTAGATGGTCTAGGCACCAAGTTATGCTCCAAAACTGGCTGCAGCTTCAAGCACAACTCTGACATAATTGGAAACCTCAAGCGACTGACAAACCAGTCATCATCTTAGGCCAGAAAATCCTCTGTCGCTAAATACACACTCTCTTTGCATTGGGCCATTTGCTATATAATAAAGCTAATGCCATAGTTGTTAAAGGTATATTGTGCAGCACTGCACGTTTTTATTTTCTCTGATCTAACTGTGTAGACATGGAAGTATTAATAGTTCAACATGTCTCTTGTGTGTACAATAATTGTTTATACATCATTAACAGTTTCCCAGCATCCTATTTAAGTGTTGCCAAAGGAGCAATAACTGTAGAAGTGTATGCACACCAGCCATAAAGTTGATGTGGAGCTGTGCGCATTTCCACTGTAATTTCTTTATCATCTCATCTGAAGTTCTGGAAATTAACAGTTTTTGTGTGTACACACTCTTTGTACATGAGGCCCCTGAGATATACAAAGTCAAAGTAGCAACTCCATAAGTCAAATGTTGGTTTCAGCAAAAAGCAGTAAAACTGTTTATTTAGCATCTTCTCTCACTTCATCATCTATGTATGATATAAAACATTTGAACTTAATGAAACTAATTTTCCTGTAAAGTTAGCATTACCTTCAGCTTGCCCAGCTGCTGCGTCTCCTTTCTGATTCATGCTCTTCTTCCTCCTGTTCTTCTTCCTGTCACTCATGGGGGAGGACTGGCTGGGCTCTTTTCCAGCAAAAGCACCAGCGGTCCCTTCAAGGCCATCTGACAGTAATAAAAAGTGCATGAAAACATAGTTTGTGGTCTGGAAGTGAAAGCTTTACTTTCTACTATTACTTACCAACGCTTTGTGCTTTAGTGGACAATGAGGAGGGGCAGTGCTGAAGTCCTTTCTCACCTCCTTGAGGAGACAAACCACCAGACCGATCATCGACCACAGAAAGAGTGGCCGGACACAGCTGAGGAACTGAAGACCAAAAGAAGACAAAGTTTACATACGCATTTTGTGCTTTTTTCAGAGAAAAAAGAATGCCTCAGAGACCATTACTTTGTGTTCAGGAGAAATGTGTGGAAGAACAATTATACATTTTCATTTAGGTATAAAACATTTCATGGATGAAAGCAGAACGACAGCTGAAAGCCTTGACTTCCTAGAAGGCATATAGATTAGCACCTTGACTATTTTTAAAACTGTGCTTTATGTTAAATTCTACAGCGTGGGTTGGTTTGGGTTTCCTGAGCTGTTCTTTACATCAGATAAACTAAACAGCCACTGGCCAAAAGGATGGACCAGCACAGAAGATCA